TCAGCAAGGACGTGGCACGACAAAACCGCGGTCCACTAAACCTAACCCTAACCCTTAACCTAACCCTAACCCTAACCCTAAACCTAAACCTAAACCTAAACCTAACGCTAACCCTTAACCTAACCCTAACCCTAACCCTTAACGTAACCCTAACCCTAACCCTAACCCTAACCCTAACCCTTAACGTAAACCTAAACCTAAACCTAACCCTTACCTTTACGTGAATCGGCTTGCTTTAAAAGCGCTTTTTAAAGCGCCCTTTTTTCTCCGCGGTCGTATTTGTCGCGCTGCTGATGACGTCAGGTACGCGCTTTAATCGGGCGCGCTTTAGTGGACCGTGGTTTTGTCGTGCCACGTCCCTAGTAGCACTGATTATATTACCCAGTTTGGGTGATGGAACATCTGCAAGAAACAACCAAGCTCTGAGAGGATCAAGAACCTCTCAAAACAAATCGACTTTCAAAAGCAAAATTTAATATGGTATTCTGGACCAGAAGGTTGTTAATCTATTTTTAGGTATCTAAAATTACAACTTTTCTTTCTTAGTCAATGTCTCCAATGGCTGCAAAAGATCCTCATTTTGCATTACTGTTCAGTTGTGATTAGGTTTGTTTCTTTAATAAAACAGATACAAACTGTCTTTAGGAATTATTTATTTAAATGCCATGATGTGCCTGTTCCTACAAAGACAAGAATCATGCTAATCATATTCCCCGTGATATTCTGTGGAAGCAAAAGTTGAAGAAGCTGGATAGAAAGATGGACATCCTTAAAAGTTGGTGTTGAAACTGCTGGAAATATCCTGGACTGCCAAGAAAAGAAATAAATGGATTAATAAACCAACCCATAGTTCTGTCCAGAGGCACAAATGGCCAGCTCAAATTTATCCTTCCAGCACATGTTGAGACTTATCTCGTTGGGAAAAGTGGAAGGAAAGGTGAAGACAAGCAGGAACAAAGTGATTAGACTCAGTAGCAATGAGTAAAATTAGTGGATCAGAGGAATACTGTTCATATAATGTACTTGGACTTCAGTAAGGCATTTGATAAAGTAGACCATAACCTACTACTAGATAAAGTAGTTCTCTGTTGAAAGAGCTGAAAGGCCAGGTTAAGAACAAATTATGGAGAAACGGTTGCTAAGAGGTAACAAAGACCCATACATCTAATGTGGCATGTATGTATTTGCTTTATAGGAATAATGAAAATTACCTTATACCAAACTAGATATTCTATGTGCTTAAGTATTTTACTTACAGTATTTTACTTACAGTATTTTTTTTTGTACTAGTATACCGGATGTATCCAGGATTCTTTACATCTTTATCTGGAAACACCAGGAATTGAACCTATGAATTTTCTACAGGTCATTGCAGCTCTGCCGAACTAGAGCTCTTTCTGATCATAATGTATTTTTATCTATCATAAGAGTTGTGTTCTACTTTTCTACACTGATTGACAGCATTTTTACTTAGGAAATTATACATAAGTGCTTGAAAATATAGCTCTCCCAATATTAAATGATCAGTTATAACCTATAATTTGCTTTCTGGTGAAGGATTATTTTGTATAAAATATATAATATCTACTGAAAATCATTATAAACCTGGTTTGACTTCCACTTTCCCATTTGGTGTTCCAGTGAACAGAAGTATTTTATGGGCACTCCAAGTGCAGTTTAAAATTTGACATATATTATTGTGATATAGTGTCACATTATCACAGTTCTCAGTATTTTTTAAATAATATTTTAATTCCTTAATGCTGTTATGGTAACCCTTTTAAGGACTAAAAGGCAGTATTGAGATGTATGTAGGCATAGTAAGCAATAGTAAAGATTCTCCTGGCTACAGTTTAATTTTAAAACAAAAATGAATGTTGGAGTGGTATTATTGTCTTTGAATATTCCATTTGATTTTTAAAAATTTCCTAGAAAAATAATTACAAAGTGTGATTTAAATTTCATTTCAGTTACAGCAATAGATATTACAGGTAAATCTTGACATACAACATAGTCCTGGAGCCTGTCCATTATGATTGTAAATCATAATCATAAAATAGATTGGTCATATGACCAACCTGATTTTGTAACACTTTGTGGTCATTAAGCAACAGTGGTTATAAAGTAGCCACCATGGTCATTAAGTGAACTAACCAGGATATATTGAGCAAAACATCAATATAATACACTTTGACTATGTGCAAATAACTCCTGGAGAGATGCAAAGAGCCATTCTCCAGGAAATTAATCCAAACCAGTACTATCCCACCCCTGGTATTAAGAGCTAGGCTTTTTCATAGTAAACACATTTTTCAAGTCAAATTGATGCCAAGTGAGTTTCCATGAAGTTTTTTTGGCAACAATACAGAAATTGTTTGCTACTGTTTTGTTCCTGGATGGATGGACGGACGGACGGACGGACGGATGGACGGATGGACGGACGGACGGATGGACGGACGGACGGACGGACAGACACTTCCCAAACTAGTCTCCAGTCTTGGAATCCCTGAGTCTTTCCATTAACCTTTAAACAGGCCTGACCTTGCTTAGCAAGCCCAAACAAGAACAGCTTGGTACTGCCACCTGTTGAGACATTTTCATATTGGTAAAAACAATTCTAAAATTAAAGAACACACAGAGAAAATTTGGAGGGAATAATCTGAATTTTAAATGATGTTCCAGGGATGGTGAGATCTTGCACATTACTGGAGATCTGTAA